CCCCCCCCCCCCCCCCCCCCCCCCCCACCGGGGGCTACGCCCCCTGGACCCCCTTTTCTCGTGGCGGGCTTTGCCCACCACACCCCCCACTCCCCCCCTCTGCCCACAGACTTCATCACGCGCTTATCATATAAAATAGTATACGCAACACGTGCGGACAGCAGGCGGTATCTACTACTAGTTGATCTATCACTAGTTGCGTTTTTACCTAGTGAGTTAAATTACGTTTTTTCATGACTAGAATAATGATTAAAACAATAGCTTCAATAATTCACTTTATTTTCATCACTCAAAAAAGTTTTTTCACAAGAAAAGGTATTCTTTTGTGAACCATTCAGAATTTCAACATTCAAGGAATGGTTCTTATCTTAACCATACAAACATGCACGCATACATGCATTCCATCTCATTTGCTCTGTATTTTGTTGTTGAAATGGAGTTTGTGGAATGCGAGAAATTTGAGGCCTTCTTTGTGGATTTCTTTGAAATTTTTGTTGATTGACTGGTGCGGTTCCTTAACGAGTTTCATATATTGGTTCATTCTCCATGTTACCTCTCTCACCGTAATTGCACACAAGGTAAGTAGTGAACATATCATCCTTCTTATATCTCACTAGACCGCAACCAACAGTAGTAGTCTTTCCCCAGACCATCTGAGTGTAGTGACCGATTTTGGTGTGAAATCTGAAAAAAAAAAACAAAATTCAGCAAGTGAGTAAGCATTACTTTACTGTCTCAGGCTGAGTAATCATCAAAGAAGACTACTCACTGAAACGAAGAAATTAAACTTCTATCAAAGTGCTCGACTTCGTCGTACCACATAGTCACCAGCTCAGTAAGCTTCGTGTTGTATCCATCACTCCACCCTTTGTAAGCCACATTTTGTCCAACGCGGAAACGATCTATTAGAAAAAACGACGATTCAATTCATGAACAAATATTGATTCCGCAAGTGTGGTATACATGTGTCATATCGACCCATAATACGCATTTTCTACTTAGTGTCATAACCAATTGGTTGAGGGAACTGAAACTTACCAACATTCCTGCATTTATCGTGACCAAAGTTACATTGGTTAGCCCATCGTTGGGCAATCTGTGCCAATTCCTCGTCCCATTGCTGCAAAGTAAAAAAAAATTATTCGCCACAATTGAAATTATATTACTTGGCTTTTATTTCAAATTTGTCAAACAAAATCCTCATGATGGGATCATCTCACTAGAGGTGGAATATTTCCAACAGGTTGAGGGCCACCAAGACCGCGAGTCTCGCGACCACTGGCAACGCGAGCTCTAAATGTGTTGTGTGCATACAGAATTTCCTTCTTTTCTTCGGGTGTAAGGGAAGCACTCTTATAAGCAACGCACTGGCGGGCGGGTTGCGGAGACTATAATATTAGAAGAAAAAATTAATGAGATTAGAATAGTAGAAGCAAGTAGAGAAATCTTTCGTGCTATAAGATGGTTGGGAATTCGTTGACAAACATATAATTATATAATGAAATATGTAATGCATAATACACATATGTGTTATTGCTTCATTGTCAAATTACTATTACCTTCCAAGGATCGAATAGCAGACGGTAAAGGTTGGTAGACATTGATCGTCTTGATGCGTCTATCACAAAAGTTTGTTCCTAGGGAATGAATTGGCCAGAGGCCCTCAGGAGATAAAGCGTTGTAAGTTTGCATATGACCTTGCAACGACTTTCTTTAACCCATGGAAATTTTTTAACTCATTCTCTATACTCACTATAGTTACTATAGAGGTCAGTACATTGAACATCCATTTTCTCAAAGAATAACTGATCTATAGTTTTAAGGCTTTTGCGGTCATGATTAATGATATTATTGGCTTCCGAATGGATGCCGCGTTTGGTTTCAGCATTGCGCCGACGTTTCGCAAACATTGCAGTCTGCATCTTCAGGGCTGTGAGCTCCGATTCTGAGCACCAATGTCTGAGGGTAGTAGTCCTTTTATGCGACGGTGCTGGTAGGGGAAGGGAGGGGGGGGGGTCAGCCATTCATATGATCAGCTAATCAAATCATATGTTTTAACTGATCAGCTGATCAATTAAAACATGTGATTTGATCAGCTGATCATATGAATTGATCAGCTGATCAGTTAAAACATATGATTGGCTGACCCCCCCTCCCTTCCCCTACCGCCACCATCACAGGGGAAGGCATAAAAGGACTACCATCAGACATTGGAGCTCAGAATCGGAGCTCACAGCCCTGAAGATGCAGACTGCAATGTTTGCGAAACGTCGGTGCAATGCTGAAAACAAACGCGGCATCCATCCGGAAGCCAATAATATCAATAACTGATCCAATACAAATTGCCGTATGATAACCTGGTGCAACTTCCTAACATAAGTTGCCTAGTTCTAATATTTTGGTCATACCTTCGTGAAAGCCCAATCTTCACCTCTACCAATCATTTATTCTTACGATATTTGAATTAGACAATTCAATACTCACGGGAAATCGACACATGGTGTGTTCTTCCCAGTCGCAGGTGGGAAGTTGGCAGAATCGATTGGCTTCAACTAAGGATGCTACCGCCAGAACAGCAACAAAAAGGTAAGTGAGTTCAACCATTTTCCAGAAACTACGATCCAGTGAGAATAAACTCAAATAGTGAATAGTCAGATCGATCGCCCCGGTATATATACTTCTTATCAGTACCTATAAAAGATATCGGCAGAAAAATGATATTCCATTAAGATCATTTTATTACCATATGAATGGCCAATGAACGATAACTAAAATTCTGATTACTTTTGTAATCAATAACTGAGCAGAATTTTCTTTTTTATTATCACATTAGTTTTAAATCAGAAAAATCTTTTTCTAAGAATCTTGCAATTAATAATGAAACAGAATCCGTTTTTCATTACCATTTTAGCTGTAGATGTTAATAACCCTTATCGCACTATATTATTTTAACTAGCGTTTAATGCAACATTATCACAGGCTTCGAACAAAAGTTGAACCTAAACGATATCACACAGGCTAAATGGGAGAAAGTAGTAAAGGGACGTCTCCTGTTTCACCCCTATCACCATTTTCCTCGATTGTTTCATTTAACCCTTATGAATATTTGACAGTCATGCCCGTTTTGATGAATTGCTTTGTTTTACTTGTAATTATTTGATCCTAATGATTATTCTAATTCTCTTTGAATTTATTTGTTGCCTAAAGGTGATTGGGCAGCGTAGAGCCAAATTTGGAGAGTAAAATTTGTCAGCAATGTCGGCCATATGCGACCTCGTATTCCTTTGAAGGGATTATGCTATTGTATATGAGGTAGTCCACGCCAAATGAGTCAACCGCTGACGCTTACCTTCTTGGAAATTGATGGCGATTTTTTCTACAATTGGGGAGGTCGAAAAACTATATTTCAAATTTTTTCAGATTTTTTCGGCAGCCCAGTTCGGAGATATGGTTTTTGTTTCGTTTTTCCGGTTTTTTTCAATAACTCGAGTTCTATCCATTCGATTTTGATTTATTAAGCGTCCAAATTTTTCATTTTTTATTGTCTGTAAGAAGATTCTTAGTGAAATTTTTTTTTCGATCTCTAGATGCGCATAATAATGACTTTTCGAATAAAAAAGTTGAAAAACTTGAATTTTGCAAATTACGTCACGGGTGATTTGTTTCATTTTTTTTGCACGAATTCTTATAATCAAAACAAGTATTTTGAGCCATCATACAAGTTGGGCATCGTCCTAGATCTATTTTATTTTCAATTTTTTCTTTTCGAAATTCCGTAAATTTGGTCGCAACACCTCAAAATGGCGTTGATTGACTTTGATTATAGACAGTATGAAGTGAATTTCATTGTATACCTATTTATTACATATTTTTTCGATACATAATCGAAGTCGTTTTGTGGTGTTTTGACCAAATTTGCAAAATTTCCAAAAGAAAAAATTAAAAATAACATAGATCCAGGAGGATGCCCAACTTGAATGATAGCTCAAAATACTTGTTTTGATTATGAGAATTACTGAACAAAAAAGTAGAATATCAACCATGACGTAATTTTCAAAATTCAAGTTTTTCAACTTTTTTTTCGAAAATTCGTTATTATGAGCATCTAGGAATCGAAAAAAAAATTACTAAAAAAAGTTGTATAGGTGGTAAAAAATGGGAAATTTTGACGCTTAATAGAAAAAATTGGACAAATAGAACTCGAGTTATTGGAAAAAAGAGAAAAAAATCACATCTTTGAACTGGGCTGCCGAAAAAATCTGAAAAAATTTGAGAGATAGTTTTTCAACCTCTCCGATCATAGAAAAAATCGCCATTCATTTCCTAGAGGGTGAGGGTCAGCGATTGACTCATTTGACGTGGAATACCTCATATGCATAATTGTTCAGATAATTCCTAATTATTCTATCACTCTTTCTATCAAGTCGAACGAACCAACGAAAAAGACCGGGGTAAGAGCGTTCGTTACATTCGTGTCGATGAGCATGAATTGAGGTCTCAAATTTTTTAAAACAATGAAAATAAAAAAATTTCATTGCTATTTAGTATTAAATATTGGCTCTCAATTATGACCGCGTATCTGTTACTGAAATACAATGAAATTAAACATTTGGAAAGTTACTAGTGGTACTGAGATTCGATCCTGGATCCTTCTAATCCGTAGTCCGGCATGCTGACGACTCATGGAGTCGTCTGAAACCTGTTTGGGTGATACACACAGAGAAATCCACACGTAAATTGTGGTTTGCTAAACGTAATTTACGCTTAATACCACGATGATGTTTGGTGGCCTGTTCCGTCATGAAATTCGAAATTTAGGCTTCAAAAAGGTGTATTTTACCGTCAAAATAAAAACGTTGATTACGCCAAAACAAAGCGTCGTGTACGTTTCACTAAGCATATTTCACGCTTAAGAAATCGTAAATTACGATCTCAATAGAAAAGTAATCTAAGATTTACTTATGCATAATTTACAAAAAAAAAAATACTTTGCGCTTGACATAACTTGTTTTTTTTCGTAGATTCTGACAGAATATTCATACCAAAAAAGAAAAAAAATAAATAAAATAAAAGCGACAGGTGATACCAGCCTGCTATCAGTGCCCTCCATAACCTAAACCATGCTGGTCAGAATGAAGACAGCATTTTGTTTTTTTTTCGTCGTTAATGACGACTAAATAAACATAAAATACGGAGAAAATCCTAGTAATTCACAAATGCGGAACCGTAATTTATGGTGATTCAGAGCGTATTTTACGCTCCAATTTCAAGCGTTAAATACGGTTCTGAAAGTGCAAAAGACGACTTCTTGAAGGTAATTCACGTTGAAATTTTTCCGTGTGTATATTTTTTTCGAGCATATGAAAATCGCGTGGTGTTTACCGACCCTTTCCTGTATTCATTAATGCAATTATCAGCCATTAATTGAATAATAACACTGATTAGCTGATGGATTGAGAATTAATTGATTCATTCGTAACTAATGAGTATATTAATGATTGTGAGATCTAAATATAATCAACTATTATCTGATAGCCTGATCTGATAACTGATCTGATAACTGTCAATATTTAATCAAAAAAATAGCCTATGGGTATTAAGTCGGTTTCGATTAAAGGCTAATTCGCAGCCGATGATAAACTCGCCGATGTTTGGCGCGTAGATATTGGACCAATATTTGGCCTTTAATCGGGGCCCCAATGTTCGGCCATCAAACATTGGGCCGATGTTGGGTTTTTAATCGGTGCTCCGATGCTCAGCCAGCCGTCCTTGGGCCGATGTTTGACCTTCAATCGGGGCCTCGATGAGCGGAACCTCCACACATGGGAAACGAAGTAGATAAATATCTTGAGTATATAAAACGTCAGGGAAACTGAAGATATTTTTCGGAGTAAACAAGAATAAGCTCATCCAAAAGATTCTACCATTCGGTACTAATGAATAAGTATTTTTCTTTAGTGTAATGGAAAAGTTCGGCGCTAAAAACACTGGCTGCTCAGTGGAAAGAAACATATTTTCCGTTGTCTTAATGATGAATACCCGCGTCTTATTTCATATACGTCATTCATGAATAGATGCCATCAAGCGATAAATCCACAGTTATTAACATATTGTTTGCACAGACGTAAAGCTATTCCATGTGGCATTATTTTGTCGTTATAAACGTAATACGAATTGTTACATCTGTTCTTGAGGAAATCAATAGGTCTTCTTATCGCTTGCAGAATTGGCGAATTAATTTATGGGACATTCCATGTCAACTCAGCAACCCTGAAATTTTTTGGTTCTCAGAATACTGAATTAGGATGCTCACTGTCAAGTACTACATTAGTACAACCTTGCTCTAAATTTTGGCTCCTTTAACATCAATAGTTTTTCTATGACATATGACAAAAGCTCAAATCGTTAACAAATCATATCTTGCGAACTAATTGACGAATTTTGCCGAATAAAAAAACATTTTCTTCGTTTTTTCATGTACTTACCGAATAAAAATCCAACAGTAACGCGAGGATAAGTAATAAGACATTTTTCAAGTTTTTTATTATTCAAATTTCGCTGTTACGCAGCGGCCAGACGAGAATCGAATAATTTTTTTTCCTGGATGGATGATGATAATACATAACTTTTTGTGGATATTTTAAAATGGGACATCGATATGGAGATGAGAAAAAAATGTTCTTGTCCTGAAAAATTCCATTTTGCACTCATAAATGAGAAATAGCATGTTGTGCATCAAGGACGGAAAGTCATGTTTTCCCGCCCGAGGTGCACATGCTATTTTTTAACACGCCTGCAAAGGAAAGTTCCTATTTTGCTCTTTGATGAGCGGGAGGAAAGTACGAACTTTCCGTGCAGGTGTGTGAAAAAATGACTTTTAGCGGTCCAATTTTTCGCAATCACAAAGGTCTGAGAAAATAAGGGTTAACTGAAAGAAGTGAGTAAGGCAGTCACAAGGGTCGAATGATCATAAATAAAATGGAATAATTGAAAGCCTCTCCTGTTGTATCCCATGACGGTCAAACTTCACCATGGTCGTACTCTTTGAGGGTCAAGGATCGCAAGGATCAAGCCTCACAAGAATCATGCATAATGAGAGTCAATCGTCGCCAGGGTCATACCTCGCGAGAGTCAAATGTCGCAAGGATCATAACTGGCAAGGGTAAAACGATCGCAAGGGTCGAACAGCAGAGACTGGCAAGACAATATCAAGGTTTAAACGACCACAAGTGTCAAACAATAAAGACAGGGAGAACAACCCCAAGGGTTAAATAAATAGGAGGGTTAACCGTACGAGTCAGGCATCATAATCACCAGGGTCGAATAGGAGAGGTAAGGATGGAAGACAATCACAACAGCCAAGCGCTCACAAAGGTTAACTGGGAGAACCTTCCGCACTGACAAAAAAAATATAATTCTGACAATCGAATTTGTTTCAGAAAAGAATTTATAGTGAAATTTTGTTTGAAAATTTTGGGCATTTGTTTGCCCGAAACAAATTTGATTGACAGAATTATATTTTTTTTCAGTGTGATTACCTCACTCGATTCATGATCGTTTGACCATTGTGATTGTCCTGCCTGTCCTCCAGTTGACCGCGATCG